TAATTATTCAGATAAAATGAGAATACCTAGTGCACTAGAAGGATGAGATTGGCAAATCATAGGTCATTTATATTTCATCAACTTGGGGGTTAGAAACACATGTTGCTTGGATGTCTTTTCCTAAGATCATCACATCATTGAAAAAAAAAAAAAAGATGAATAGAAACTCACTTGACAAATTCATTAAGGTAATTCAACCATGAGCTCACGGAAATGCCCTCTTGATCACCTGCAAGAGCCTTAAAAAGATTATGCACCGTGGGACGATCAACCACACCAGAGATTGCAGGAGCAATACGGACAAAAGACTCCTCAGTGACAAGTTTATTCTGCAAAGCCACACAAAATACATATATTTAGTGATCTCTCAAAATCATAAAGAAAAAAGAACCAAATGAAAAAGAGAGGATACTTCAAATTTATAAGTTGGTCATGCCAACTATGCTTAAAAGTTCTAACATTGTGTAGAGTTAAATAAACAAACTAAAGGGATAATTCCTAAGAAAAGTGCTATCCCTCTTTCTCATATTTCCCACATACAATCAGCAGCATATTCAATGCTTGTAGGGAAGCTGAAGTACATTAACTAAAGGAAAGAAGTGAACCTGTAAAGAAGCCTTCTCTGCATTGCTGGACAGTTCATCAGTATAGGGATTTTCCCAGGCAAGCATGGTTATGAATATCAGCCTCTGAAATGCAGGGTCCTATAAATGTGTCCAAAAGAAATAAGCATTGCATCTTTTTTAGGGAATAAAAGAATAAAGCTTATTCACTATTACATTATTTGATATTTAAATGGACAGGTGAACCAAAGAAATCCATTGAGTTAGGCTTCATCTGTCACTGCTGCTTTTTTTGCTATTCAAATTTCCCAAAAACAAATTATTGTTTTTTACAGTAATTTTCAGAAACTTGTTTCATTCTTTACTACTAGATAGGTAGGAGAAGTGCTGAATTGACATTTGTGAAACCAAAGACCAGTGATTCCAAAACAACACCATATTGAATTGTTGGAAGGAAATAAAAAAAATAAATCAAATCTACGTTGTAAAGATTGCAAAATATTTAAGGAAGACCTCGTCCAACCAAAGCAGGGCTTGACAACTATTGGAAAGAGTGGGGCTTCACATTGAAGTTTAGGTGGTAAGAGACTAGAGATGGCACAAACATATACTCGTGAGACTTGGCATTCTTGTGATAGACATCCAACCAGCTTGGACCACCTTCAATGGCAGGCTGATATTTGATGAAAAAATTGACCAGCCTGCTCATGCTAACAAAAGATGATAGAGTGATCCTCGAATAGCTGGCACATACTAGAGCAAACGGGCAGCAAAAACAGGGGAACGAGAAGTGGCGTCGATCATATGAAAAGAAAAATATGCAGCAATAGGAAACAAGAAACAATATTTTTTTTCTTTTGAAAATTGTGTTCAGTAAATTAACCTTTCCAACATATATAATGAGTAGGAAAAAAAAAAAATTTCCGCCTACTTTAATGAGAGATAAAATGACAATAAAAAAAAAAAAACCACATGCATGTTTGATGAGACCGAGATGAACTTAGATAAAAAAAACAGGAAATGAATATCAGAACATGGTTTCCAACGTATCATCCAAAGAACAATATTCTATACCTGGAGGGAAGGATGAATATCAGAACCATCCCTTGACAAAAATCTAAAGCAGCAATATTCAACCAAATTACGTGCATCATTATGTACGGATTGAGGCACAAGTGCTTCAAAAATTTTCTGCATTTTCTTCCCGGTCAATCCATTCATCCTGCATATCTTATTTTCAAAAGGTCAAATAATAATTTCTTTATCAGTCTGATAGGCATGAAGCCAGCAAGAAATACAACAAGACACGACCATCATTAGCGATGCGGTACTTCCCCAAGGATTAAATTTTCCATTGACAATACAAGCCAACTAATTGATAGCTCACATGACAACATCCCTGACCTTTAAGACCAGAGGAGGGGGGTGCTTGATGTTGTGAGTTCATTCCCTCCCCCTTTCTCAGGACCTTGGGCATTGGAACCTTGTTGGACTCAAGAAATAAACATACTGAATTCTGAATAAAGATATAAATAATTTGGTTTTTAAGCCAGCGTATAAACACAGGGTTACCCCAAACAAGGAGTTTCCTCCTTCAAAACACAAGGAATAACAGTCTAACATCTTAATTCCCTTTTACAAGTCTGCAACACTACTTATATATATCACCAAAACTGTTGCATTGTAACCTATAATTGCCTAATATAGAATTAATATTAAAATAACTTCCTAATACATAATTATAATAAATCAGATTTTGTCCAATCAGACCTCCCATGTAAACCAAAAAAGAAAAAAAAGAATTGTTCACGTGTATTTACCTGCTGAATTGTTCAATACAAATCACAGCTGCTAGAGAAAGAACCCCACATGGAGTTCTACGGTCAATTGTCTGCTCTATCATAAATATATCTTCCATGACTTGAAATTCAAAATCATTTTCTGGATCCGACTTCTTACTTTGACCAGGTTTTGCAAGAGGAAAAGTCACTTCATTCAAAAAATTTTGGGTCCTCGACATCAATACATTCAATCTTTCTTGGATAGAACCTTTGGAAAAGAAATGAAAACTTACTAAAATAGACAGCCAGAATGAGATACGGAAAAAAATACCCTATATAATTTAGATACATGTTATATTCTTTTAACCAGTTCCTAACTAAAAGTATCAAACAAAAAGGAAAAGCATTTAACATTGAGAATCGAAAATCAGTTTATTTATGATAAAAATTTAGAACCTTACTAAAATTTACCATACCAATTAATCACATGCCAGAAGCAAGCAAGTCAAGTACATGATTATTAAATCAGGATTCAAAATCATGAATCACCAAGCTAACAAAACAACTTAACCTTAAGCCTCATCATAAAATAAAATTATTAGTTAAATCCGAGTCTGTGAAGACTATGTTAGAAGAACTAAAACACGAAGAAATGAAAAAGCCAAATAGAATGCGTCCATGAATGAGTAACAAATAAAGTAGTGGAATAATCTAATCGTATAAGTTTATAAGTGTTTCTTCAATTCCTTTTCATCGAACAATTTAAGCTTATATGACTTTCCAATTTCTTTCACAAGAATTGGTGAAACAAAAGTAAAAATAAATAAATAAATAAATAAAATAATTGAATGGTGTGATCTGTATCGATGATAGTACATCAATTCATTCATGTATTGCGAGATTCAAAGTCATTTGAGATTCATCTTATGATACAAATCTCCGAACAGCCAAATCATGACATTACACGTCATCGAACCATCAATTTATCAGAGAATCTTGTGTTTGATCCCGCCATGTGTGAAAATTTTCTGGACTAGCAATAATCATAATACTGTGAATGAGATTAGTATTTAGTCAATGGGTTAGGAGATACTCCTGGCAGTACAAATAAAAATCATGGGATTCAAATCCTGAATTGTAAGATTCTAATAACTATACATAAACAACTAAATAGGTGTGTGGAGGCTTGTTCAACAAATGGCAGGCTCTATAATATGTCCAAGAATGAGGGAAAAGGAAAAATCATCAGAAAAAACAATAGCAAATTAAAAAATATGGCAAGGTGACCGACCTTGAGCAGTGTTGGGAATATACAGAGACAAGAAGCAACCACACATCTAATCAAATTTAATCTACTAAAACAAAAAGCTTAAAAAGTAACAGAGAAGATACCAGTACTTATGTCATTTAGCTTCCATTTATCCCCCAAAGAGTGCGGCACGAACTTGAAGGGAAACTTTTGCTCCGACAATATTCTTCTGGAATACTTGTATCTGTGGGAAAAAATCACGTAGCTGGGCGATGTCCCCAACCCCAACTGGCTCATCGGAAACCTTGTCCCCATACCTTTGTTGGGTATGAAGATTCAAGCATCAATCAATACTATAGAGAACTAACTCAACTGATTGACTTGAGAGAGAAAATGATTAGAGTTTATCATCAATTCATACTTTTGCACTTCTACTCTGCTTTTGGGTGAGGGCCACCGAAGCACTCGTGTTCTTGTTTCGCTGAAAATAAACATGTTTCTTATGATGTTCAAAAAATTATTTATTTTTTTTCTTAATTTTCTTATTTCTGTAAAAATTATTTATTTTTTTTCTTAATTTTCTTATTTCTGTCTGTCCCATTATTTTTTCTTCCCAATTTTATGTATATTGCTGAACCGAGTAAGATTAGTACTGAGCGATAAATATCTTCTGTCAGATATTTTGAAACAAATTCAATTTTTTTTTAAAATACATATAATTTAAGACAGAAGAAAATAAATAGTTGTATACACTATTACATGTCATATAATTTCTTTTGACCTTAAAATAATGGAACTCGTGTTTTTATTTTCCCTTGTGAGTGTACACTACTACAATACCAGAGCGTTGACGAATTTGTATGCAATATATTAAAAAAATATAAGGATAAAACATATTTTTATTTTACTAGGAATTTTCAAAATTCGTGTTTTATTCTTTAAAAGTTGTGGTATTTTGATTCCTGGTTTAGAAAATTCACCATTTCAGTCCTCAAATGCTTAAAAGTGATTCTAAAGCAATTTCTAAATTATTTATATAAAAAAAATGTGATGTGTTTTTATATTAGAATCACTAAAAGGTAAAAACATATTTTACCTAAATTATAATCATAAATTTATTTTTTTAATCTTATTTACATTTATTTTTCTTTGTATCTTTTTAATTTTTTTTTATTATATTACTTGCCAAATCTGACACTCTCTCTCTTTATTTTATTTCTTTTCTCTTCTATCCACCCAATTCATTCTGAAATAGGACAGATGTTAATTAATCACTCCAGTGGAAGGAAGGAAGGGAAATTTCTTTAAAAAAAATAACAAATATAATATATATTATATGATGAAAATAAAGTAAAATAAGAAAAATAGAAATGAATCTCAAGAAAAATGGATTACTCTTTATCAAAAACCAAAAGTTTAGTTATTGTAATAGAAAAGGCAATATAATATGATATGATGAGAGTTGGGTGCGGCTAACAAATAAGAAGAGAGTTAAGGCATGGCCTTATCCTCTCCCTTCCTCTTTTCACCTGTGAACGCCACATGTTCAGTACCCCATTTCCATTTCCATGCACCATCACTTTCTTCTTCTCACTTCCTAGTTACACCCTCCTCCCATGTCCATGTCTCTCACAAATGGAGAGCCAAAGTTTCATTTTTCACTTCCTTCTTGAAGAAAGGCAAAGATGTTAAAGTCATCAAGGAAGAACTCCTTGAGGCCATTGCACCGCTTGATCGAGGGGCTGATGCCACTCCCCAAGACCAGCAAACAGTTGATCAGGTCAATTAATTATTTCATGCCTTATATATTCAATTATTTACCGACAAATTTGTAAATCTTATAAGAGACACAGCTTTTAAGTTTGAGTCTTCAGTATGTAACTGTGCTAAATGCTCATAGAGTTTTGTCGTTTAAAGCACTCTACAAGTCTCAAAATTCAATTAGTGATGCATGCTTTCTTTGCTCAATCAAACCTTGCTGCAATGAAAGCTAACTACCATGATTAATTAATCGTAAATTAAAGTGTTTAATTAGTGTTACTTTCTTCATGAAACTCCAATTTCGATAAAATATTGTACTTATTGTGGTGCATGCTACTTTTTATCATTAATTTTCTCACAATATTCTTAACTTCACATGCATATTTAGTCTTGATTCGTGGAATTTATTCCTAAATATATAGATTGCACGCGAACTTGAGGCAGTTAGTCCAATAAAGGAGCCCCTAAAATCTAACCTACTCGATGGAAAATGGGAGCTTATATACACTACCTCGCAGTCAATCTTACAAACCAAGGTAAACAATTTTTTCCCCTTACTGTGTAGTTCACATTTATATTTATACTCAAATGATAAATCATCTAAGATACGTTAGATTTTTAGATATTATGATGTATCTAATGTTTGCGAGCGTTGCAGGTTGTTTCCTTCTATTATGTCTTTACAATCATCTAAGATACAGTATTAGATTGTTAATTAGATATTATGATTATGATGGGGTATTAAACATGCACTACATCATAGTGGATCAATCGTGCAATTAGTATTTTACATTCAAATATTTGCACAAAAAAGTAAAACAGCAAACATAAAACGGTTTCTATTACACATTCTAGTCATCTACTAGCCATCTAGCATCAGTGTCAAAATTAGCTTCTCTATGTTTATTGTATTTATTATACTCACAATGAAGGAAGTCTGCGTTGTATTTCTTGTGAGATACATCATCCATATTTCAACAAGTTTTCACTAAATCCTGAAATATCTATTCTGCTTTTGTTGCTCCCTTTCATTTTGCAAGATTAGATGATTCTCAAACAGATTAAAAAACAATTTTTCCCCCTTGCCATCTACCATTTTTTGCCTGCTAACTTTTTCAATAATTGAATGACAGAGACCAAAGTTGTTGAGATCAGCTACAAATTATCAAGCAATCAATGTCGATACTCTAAGGGCCCAAAACATGGAATCTTGGCCATTCTTCAACCAGGTGATCCTTGTGAAATTGAGACAAGTTTCACCCTTTGATCATGCATTGTCACCCTGACATTTGCATGTGTTAACAAAATCAATTGTGTAGGTGACAGCAGATTTAACACCTCTAAGTCCAAGGAAAGTGGCTGTAAAATTCGATACTTTCAAAATTGGAGGCATAGTAAGTATTCAGTCTCAATAGCTATGATTGAAATTCTATTTTGTAATGTGTTTGATGACATTGGCTTAAGAACCTTTAGGCAAATTCTAATGATCTAACATTAGTCATAATTAGTATCCTACACCAGTGAGTAATGTGTATGAATAATTTAGTATCCATCATAATGTACCCTAGCAGATACCTATCAAAGCACCTGGAAGAGCTCGTGGAGAACTCGAAATAACATATTTAGATGAAGAACTGCGGTGAGTTACCTTTACCTGATTACATGTTAGATTCACATTTATTCTTTTTTGGAGAAAGATCTTTATGAATCAATTGGACATTAGCTTATTTCCATAGTAATTATTTGTTTAATAATCTGGTATAGATATCAAATACTCATTCTCATACTTTGTCGTAATAATGTAACAGGGTATCAAGAGGTGATAAAGGAAATTTGTTCATCTTGAAAATGGTGGATCCATCTTACAGAGTTCCTGTTTGATGGCATTGTCAGCACTGGAATAAAATATTTGTGCATCACTATTCAAGCTCACTTGGAGCCTTTTGGGACTTTTTTTTTTCTATACAAAAAGATAAAACTGAAATAGTATGAATATAATCTTAAGCTGTGTAATTTTGTATTATGTGGAAAATTCTCATTCAAAAGAAGTGGTTATTAATATTTATGGTTTTAGGTACTCTAAAAAGTAAAGGTTGGTCATTAAAATAAACAATATACACTCATGACTTTGTTATATTAAAAGTAAATTTCTTTATCAATGATTAAGAGTACTTGCTTTTTAAAATGAATTGTTCTCTTTAATTGAAACAGATCCAATATTTATATTTTTATAGGTAATTTGTTTTTTTTAAGGGGAGAAACCGATTATGTGGGTCTTATTATCATATTTATTAGGGGGATGACCCCTGATATAGCAGGAGAGATAATGTGAAAGAGAGTGAAGTGAAAAAAAATAATGTAGTTTTCCATAACCGGGGCCATACAGTTTTATATTATTACTATTATTATTATTATTATTATTATTATATATGTGTGTGTTTCCACTCAACTAAACTTTTTTAATTACGTAGTTTTCATGTCACTAATTTGTTTTAGTCTTCCAGAGTTAAGGTACTTACTTTTTTTATACTCTAAATTTAAAACTTATATTTTGACCACATAAAATGTCAAAAAAAATATTATATTTTTAAGCTTCATCTTGTGTCAACATATCTTCGTTCAAATATAAAAAAGACATATCTTATGAGAGTTCCTTTTTTTTTTTTTTTAATGTGGGCGTGATAAATTAATTTCAATTAATAAATTAAATTGAATAACTTAAATTAAAAAAATTACAAATAAATTTATCTCATTCTACTATTATTATATTTTTTTTTTGTGTTGTCAATTCTTATTACAATTATTATTATTATTATTATTATTATTATTATTATTATTATTATTATTATTATTATTATTATTATTATTATTATTATTATTATTATTATTATTATTATTATTATTATTATTATTATTATTATTATTATTATTATTATTATTATTATTATTATTATTATTATTATTATTATTATTATTATTATTATTATTATTATTATTATTATTATTATTATTATTATTATTATTATTATTGAGCATCTTGGTGGTAGTGATAACGAGAAAAATAAATAAAATTAGAATGAGTAATTTATAAATAAAGAAACTAGAAGATAAATGTTGTATAATTATAGAGATCAAAATGTAAATATTAGTGAAAGTATAAACACTGAAACTGACATATCAATGCAACATTAACTATACATTAGTGTTACATCATTCATCATTAATGTTGCTAATATTTTTTGAATAATGCAAACTAAAAAGGAACAGATAATTTTAATTTTATACAAGATCTAAAAATGATTTTTAATATATATATATATATATATAAACTAAAGGATAAAATTATTTTAATTTTAGAAATTAAATAATCAATTAAAATTTATTATAAAATTCAACAAATTCATATAAAAATCGTCAAACTTATATAATTTATGATGGTTAACAATTTTATTTATAAATAGATAATAATTTAAATTGTTTTATACGGAAATTGCATAATATATTCTCTCTATATTTATATAATTATTTTTAAATATTTGGAACCCTCTTATGTGCTATGCTATGTTTGGTTGGATGAAAAAAATAAAGAAAAAATTATAAATGACGATAATATAATGAGTAATATATATATATATATATATATTTTTTTTGGTTGAAGACGAGATAGAAGAAAAAAGAAGAGAGAAGTTAATTTTATAGAGATAAAATTCAAATCTTTTCCTTCTTTTCACTATTTCTTCAATTTCAATTTCAATTTTTTCTTTCTTTTACCTTCATTCCAAACACTTTTTAAATTTCAAGAATTCAAGTTGACTTTATAGTGTGTATTTATTTTTCAGTTTTTTTTTATGTTTTTTATTTTATTTAATTTTCAGTTTATTTAAGCGTTTTTGTCTTGGAAATTGAAAAGGTTACGTTGAACACCAATGAAATGAGAAAACAAATACATCCTTAACTCTTTACCTAGCTATTTTTTTTTAGATTAGGAATTTAAATTTCTTAAACCAAGAATGGTTGAAGAAGATTTATCATTCTCCTAGCATGATTTGAAATCTGTTTGAACGGTCAATTTTTTTTTGAAATACCTAAAAAAAAAAAGGCGGGCTAATTTTCATTCCACCCTCTTTTCCCAATTTTTGAAGTTATAAGGCAACAAATCAATCAAATTTTCCCAAATTCATCGCCCAAACGCCAAAACCCTCAAATCTCTCTCTCCCAACCTCAGAGAGATTCGACATTGGCGAGAGGACAACGAAGTCCTCACCTCAGATCTTCATTCTATTCCGATTTCATACTATGTAAGCTCTTTCTGTCACCCTTTTTGCTTCTGCTTTGCTGAATTGAAGAAAAAAAAACATAAATATTCAATGTTTCGTTTTTTGATGCACGATTAGGTTTTATCCTTATACATATGAATTAGTTATTACAACCAATTTTCCATTATTTGATTTTTATATCTGTCTGGAATTTTGATGCAATGCTCAAATATCACGAATTTGGATCCTCTCCTGCAAATTTCTCTCTCCAGCCTCTCTCTTGTAACATTAATAGTCACCTGATATATCTAATGGCTCAAATAATTGCAGGAGAGGATCCAAATTCAAATATCATCTGGTTCCTCAGGTTATGTTATGTATTGCATCCGATAATTGGTTTTGGTAGCACTGATTTTGAAAAATTATTATTTTCGATTTTACTGTTCATTAAGACGTTATTGAGTGACAATTATCTATTTTTGGTTTTTGTCCTCAGCAATGGAATCTCTCCCTGATGCCATGCTTCAACACATCTTGTCTTATATCAATAAAGCTCAAGATGTGGCAGCTTGCAATTGTGTTTCTAAGCGATGGAAGGAGTCAATGGCTTACATTAGAACTCTCTATTTTCCTCGCAACTCATTTGATAACTTTTTTGTTGGGGAAAGTTCTGATAGCATTGTGAGAAGAATGATATCAAGGGTTGTGCAATTAGAAGAACTAGTTGTATACAGCCCCTTTTCCTCTCCTGGCCTTGCTTCATGGCTATCACTTGCGGGTTCGTCTCTTTCTCAGCTTGAGCTTCGAATGGATAACCTATCTGGCAACCAGGCCTCCCGTGAAAGCCCTTCGAAATTGGATTGTATTGGTGTGGCAAAGAATTTGAAATCTCTGAGACTCTGGGGTGTCTTAATGATTAATTCTCCAAAATGGGATGTTTTTCAGAATCTTAGCACCCTAGAGATAATTGGTGCAAGATTTGAGGGCCCTGTATTGACTGTAGTGCTTCAGTCATGTCCATATCTGAGAAGGTTGCTACTGCTGGGATGTGAGGGGGTTGGATCAATCTCAATTGACCTTCCCTACTTAGAACAGTGCAAGCTGGATTTTCATGGTATGGGGAACTGTTCACTTATTCTAGCCTCCCCGAAAATTGAATCCCTTGAGGTGCAAGGCTGTAGTTGGATTAGGGTTCCTGAAACCCAGCATCTGAGGAATCTTACAATATCCAATAGTTCAGGTGATTGAATTTTAAAGTCATTCTTATACTTGCGTATCTTTGCCTTTGTTTTTTTGTTCTCAAGTAGACTGCAATGTAATTGTTTTTATGGTTTAGTGAGCCTAATTTTCCATCCTTTCATTTTATTTGCTTACAGGGAGAGTATATAGGATTGATTTTGGAAACCTCCCAGCTCTGGAGTTTTTGTCTATGAGGGGGATCCAGTGGTGCTGGGATGCTATATGCAAAATGCTGAAATTAGCAAGTGAGGTGAAGCATCTTTTTATGAAGGTGGAATTCACTGGGGACCATGAGGCTCTTCAACCCTTTCCAGAGATTGATTTTGTTGATTTTTTCAACAGCCATCCCAAGCTGCGCAAGTTCGACATCCATGGAGCTATGTTTGCAGCACTTTGCCAGAAGAACAGTCTGAAACATGTAGATCCATGACAACATTTATGCTATAAATCTGATTAAGGTTGGTCTGTAACATATCTAACGAAGATGTACATTTGCAGGTGGATCCAGGGTTTTCTATTCCATATTTGGAGGAGGTTGCGATCACAGTGAGATCACCACTAAATGCTGAACAAAAGATGAGTACACTTGAATCCTTGTTGAAGTATGGCAAAAACATAAGGGCTATGGTTATCAAGATTCTTCAGATGAAGAGCTCTCATAGCAGTGCTGATGATTTTTTTGACGAGATTTGCCGGTTTAGCTGCATGAACCGTAAGATAGTTCGAATAGAATAAAGGTTAGAACAAACTTTTATTTCTCGATGCGTTCTTAATTCTTAATACAGAACATTTCGTGTTGGTTTCCAGTTTCAACTGGAGTGCTGAGTTGATAGTATCTCAATTTTGAGGAGCTAGTTTCTTGTTTTGAATGTGATTTGAAAATTGATAGTATCCTTTTAGCCAATTTGGAGAATGAATGTTTTACCGAATTTTCCATGATTATTACCAATAGTTTTGGATAATAATGTCGCTACGGATTTTTCTAAAAAGATAACATACTGGTCTCATTTAAGTTGAGTTTAATTTTATGCAAAAAAAATTTTATTTATGATTATTTGATTATGGTTCGATGGGTATTATGATTATGGTAATATACTGCATCATTAAAAGATTTACATAATTGCTATGATGATTAAATTCTTAATGATGTATTTACATCTTACGCACGAAGTGAATCAGTATAAAATCATTTTAATTTATGAAGGGAAAAGGGCATTTAACCAATGTGTAAACGCTGTACACGCCAAATTCATGAGGAAAGAAAGTTCTGTACAGAATGCTTCTGTGGATTAAATAATTAACAAGGTCATCGCCATTGAATTGAAATTTTAGTCTTTTTCAGGTTCCGACTTTAATATTGGATCATCAAAAAAGATTAAATTATATAAAAAGTTAATGTGAATCAGGTTGCGGATGTTTAGTAGTATAAGGTTTTAAATTTTAATTTTGTTGCAGTTTTTGTACATAAGAAAATTATATAAAAAATACTATATTAAATATTAATTGAATAGTTTAATATTTAAGGTTAACCATGATCAAAAAATATATATTTAAAGGTTAACCTCCTTTTTGTCCCCTTTCTAGTCTCCAGAAGAAAAAAAATGAATTACACTGCCAAATCCAATTAATACCTTTTCATAACTCAATCGCAGCTCAAATCTATTTTCTTGTTTATAATTAAAAGAAAGGAGAAACCTTTGAGACTTACCACATTTCTCAGCCCTAACCTCATACTTCAGTTCCCAAAAATCAAGTCTCTTTCTTCTCAAGCATTATAACCAGTAGCTACTACCAAACCTTTTGCCATCAGTCGTCCATGGTCCAACCCAATTTACGAATCTGTTTTTGTGATCGTTGATCATCTCACACAAATGATCTCTCCGAGAGAACGTCATTAACAAATTACTGTGTTACTTTAGATGGTTTTAACAAACTTCTACGAAAAGAAAGACTAGCATTTTTCTAAGTAACAGTATTTTGCGAAGTTGAAATTAACTTTTAAATTTTATTTATTTAAAAGCTCTCATTCTTCTCATAAAAAATTGTAAATTTAGAATGATTTTGTTCTGTAAGTTAAAAACCAAATGTTTATGCCAAGAGTTATTAGTAGAAATAGTTCAATATTTGTATAAGAACTGAATTTATTTTGATGCACTTGTTAGGTTTGAAGCCGCAATTGGAGTACTATTTCATCCTTAAAGACAACCAACTTTCTAGGAGGGAATTATATCTTATTAATTAATAATGTGTTTGGTCTTGTATTTGAATGACCTATTAAGCTCTTCTCTTCCAAAGTTCTCAATTGTAACTTCTGCATTTTTCACAAATTAAACGTAATTTTACCCATTTCAGACGAGCGTCCGAACATGCTTCAAGTTAATTAAAACCAGACGAACATTAGCAAATTTCTGTGGATAATAAAACTTGGAAACTTTGCAAGTCGTATCAAAGAATTTCACTACTTGTGTAAGAAGCAATGCTCCTAAAAAGGCCTAAGTTATAAAATTCATTCTTTAAAATAAACACTAGCACCATCTAAATAAGCTTTTTCTTGTGGAAGTATCTCTTCAAATGCCACAACTGCAAAACTGAAACTGTAATGCAGATACCCAAGGACATAATACTAAACCATGCCACTCTGGAATTTGTTGATTCATTCACGTTTCTCATTTCTGCCTCCCTGAGTAAATATCCAAAAACAAAAAAATCAAAATGATACGTCAAAAAAGTTAAAATCATTAAAAACAAATGCTTCATAAAAATGGTAGAACAGGGCACTGCCAATACTATTGAGCAGGGTGTCATCAGTAGAAGCTCACCTAGAACCTCGAGTAGTTTTATTTTATTGCAGCTTAACTAGTTCTTAATAGTCAAAAGATTTCTCTAAAGAAGGTTACTCACAAAATTGAGAAAGTAGTGTGAAGGAAATTCAAATTCACGCTCAAACAAAATTTGAGAGTTCATAATGGATCCTTAACCACTCTCTAGTACCCTGATTGACATTTTGGGGAATTAGGGTGTTGACATAATAAAAATTACCTGCCCCTCAGATAGATCAAATTCTCGTGGATAGACTCCACTGATCCTTCTAGCTTTCTCAACTCAAGTTCCACTCCCTATGCATCAATCACATGAGAAGAATGATGTCAGCAAAACTGAGCATTATTATAAAGTAAATGGAAGAAGCTATAGAGGTAGACTTAAATGTTGCAATTTACTAACGATGTGTTTGGAAAAATACTATACAATTTTGACTTCCAAAATCGAAAAAGTGAAAGCATTTGACTTTCAAAGTGGAATTGAAATTCATTATAGGAAAATTGAGAACATGTTTGGTTTCCCATTAAGTCAAGCAAAATCTGGTCCAATTTCCACGGTCTTATCAAAACTACTCTGTATAGCTTCAAGTTTTTACGTTTATTTGAGCAATTTGACGTGAATTTAAGAGAGAATATGGACCACCAAATCTAATCCAAACACACTTAAAGGTAGTATCCATGCTGAGTGTACAACCAAAAAATAATTCAAGTAAGCACTAAAATACAAATCATGGAATTCTTAAAACCTAACAGAAACGTTATTGAGACTCATTCCTTAATGATCAATAGGCCTTTGAGTAAATGTTAGCCCTTGTATTCAAAGCTTATATTAATAAATTATAAACGTCACTGAAATATGTTTACCTCAATCTTCTCTTTCCTAGCAACCGTATCCCAATCCTTGGCCGCAATTCCAGTTTTCCAGTCAAGGTTGACACTAATGTCTCCATCTCGATCATTATGAGTCACCCAGAAGCATGCTAGGTAGTTTCCACTCTCTCGAGATGTAAAGGCGAAATTACCACTCGACGTGTTCTCCAAATGATGAAGACTGTTTCCATATGGCGACGTGACCTAAAGAAAACACATTACTACAAAAATGAGAGACCTTATTGAAAGTTAGACCTCCATGGGACAACATAACAATAATTGACCTAGAAAAATAACAATTAATGTTTAATGGCAATGCCTTTTTTTTTTTTTCTTGTGCACCAAAAATATCATTTATCGCATAGTTAGAAACTAATTCCTTCCGAAACATAAAGATTACTGAAGTAAATTTTATATCTCTGAGGTTAGAAAATCAAACATGAGAACTCAATGTCTTGGAGAATTGCATGCATGACACAATCATATAGCCTACGTTAATTTCTTTGTACAATAGAGAAGTTATCATAGAATTGAGATCACGATGTAAACAACAAAAGAGCAAGAGCATGCATGCGTTGCAGACTAATATATTGATGGAGAGAGCGACCCATGAAAGAAAAGGGAAAAGGGTGATGGAAAAATGGTACCTTGACGGAAATGGTGGAGTTGTGGGATTGATCTCCCCCAGTGGCGACGACAACGTATTCGGCCAAAACGACGACGTTGTTGTGGATTTCTTCGGAAACGCACTTGGTGCCGGTGGGTGGCAAGGTGATCCAGATGGCACGAGAGGTTGAGAAGAAGCAAATAAACAAGAGTAGCAATAACAACATTGGCAATGACATAACTCTCTTCCCTGTACACATAAACATGCTCTTATTCTTAATTCACCCTTCTCTCTCTGCAAAATGTTAAATCAATTTCTCTCCCTCTCTCTTGATCGATGATTTTGATTTGAGGAGCTTCTTCCGATTTGGGCAACAACAAAGTAACACCTAACATCTGTATGTATGTATCTGTTTCTGCATCTGCAGCCTCTCCTCTAGTCTAGTTTCTTTTTTTCCTCTTCCCTATCTTTTTTTAGATCTTCTCTTTCTCTTATATCATTATTCCTACTGGTAGAAATTAAAAAGATAATGATATTCTTTTACTATTTTAATATTTATAGTAATTTTTTACTGTTTATTTTAGGAGTTATTAAGGGTAAAATAGGTATAGATTCTCTTTTTCCTTTTCCATTTTGTTTATCCTTTTTTTCATTTATCAAAATAACATAATATTTTTGTATTTTTTCCAAGATATTATAACAATTTTCTTATGTACTGTATCAGTATGATAGTTTTTAATTTAAATAATATATTGTTTTATATGTATATAGTCAAATAATGATCAAATAACATATTTTAAAATATTTTTATGGTTAATAATAAATATTTATTTTATATTTGGTTTTAAAATTGCTGAGAAATTTTATGTGTATTAATTTGATATAATATAAAGTAAATTATATATTAACAGTCTACGAGATTTCATACGTGAAATAAGTGCATTGTCACTTTTTTTTATATATTTAAAATAAGTTTATATAAAAAAAATAAAAATAAATTATGTATATAAATAAATACTATATTCGAATATATAAATTATTAGTTTAATAATTTTAAACTAATAAAATATAACTTTCACTTTATAGAATTTAAATTTAAAAAAAAAATTACATTTATACCATACTAATATTTTAGTATATATTTTACATAAGATAAACACTTTTTTCTATATAATTAAAATTCTTAATTAATAAATAAATATTTAAATTATATTATAATTAAGATTCATAATATATTAATATTTTTGAATACATAAATTATATTTTATTTATAATGAATAATTTAAATTTCGGAATAAGATTATTTTTATTTATTTACATTTTCTTCTAAAAAGTTATTAAAATTAAATTTACAGATAGTAAAAAATGATAAATTAAAATAGATATAGTTGTTAAAAGAACAAATACACATACCTACTCAGATTTAAATTTTCTTTTTGATTCAGTGAAATCTTAGCCCTTAATTTAAATAATAAAAAGAGAAAAATGTAAAATTTTATATAATCAACTCTTTTTTCTTTTTGTTGACATAACTAGTTGAGCTCACGAACAAGGTAGTGTAGGCAACTGGAGCACTTGAACAGTTGTCTTTAAAGATTTATCTGTGCAAATTCCACGTAACTGGCTCCAAAAATTAAAACAAAATTCAAAAGATATTCATAGAAAATTCGACCGTTTATTAAATAAATAAATAATATTGTAGATAAATAAACAATTAAACTGAATTCCTGAACTCATATGCGCACGGAATAAATTGGCAAATTTGTGCTGCTACTCGCCACAATGCACAGAGGCCCATATTCATTTTTTTTAGTATATAAATATATACTATACAACATTTTTTTTTTATATAGTGAATACAGAGAATGGTGTTTTTAATTATTTTCATCTTTTACTTCAAAATTAGTTCCCCACCAGTATTGATTATGAGAGGAATTTTTGAATGGTAATTCTACAACTAAAATTTTGACAAACTGACACCCAAGTTGCAGTTAACTTTGAAAAAATTGGCATATGAAATACCCTTTGTCATTTGAGACCATTTTTGTTAGAAGGGGTCATAATCGACCGTAGCTTCCACACTTGAATGATTTTTTTAAGCATCATGAAAGGCATTATTTTACCGTAAGGATCAAAAAGTCCAAAATCAATCCATACTTTGAGATATATGAATGCAAATCACATAAAAAATTCAAAGTAATGGTCCCACCCTCCCACTATGATTGAGATTCCCCAACTACGAGTTAGATAGGAAAAGGCACCCTCCAAACCTTATCTGACTTGGAGAAAGAAGGATGATTCCTTGCCTTTCTGCTTTCTGTAAAAGAAGAAAATGAACTCCAACGGTTCCATTCCAATTCCTTGTCACAGCAAAAATTCATGAGCTCTACTTCATGTAACGTTTAGCAGATCAAATAAAATACTAGATTTTTATTTTATGAATGTTTTTAATCTACAACCTTAAGCAATTCATTGTCCTACTTTTTTTTACAATAACCGTGCTAAAAGTTTAAATATATATATTCATCATTGAATTGATCATTGTAGTTTGTTATCCTGCATTTGCAAAAGCAGTTGGATTTCCATGTAATTTCATTAATCCTTTTACTCCCCACCCACTTTTTTGAGGTAAACAACATAAAATATAAAACATTATGATTATACTCTAAATAGTGTTATTTAGATACTTTAATATATACCTAATTGATGTGCTTTATTTCTTCTCATCAAGAAATTAATACAAGTCTAAGACAACATGATCATATCTAGAATGTCATGGATGATTTTTTTATATTCCATCCTACTAGTTTTACTGTCCCATACATAAGACATTAGAATTAAGAATTTGGGACAGTCCAATATGGATATGGAGGCACGTGAGGTTGTGGAAAATTGTGGCCCTAGAAACTCCAACTTTTGAAGGGTATAGACCTACAGTAGATAGCATTGTTTTATAGAATTTCCCCACCCACTTTCTCCTTTCACTAACCACACTTAGATCTGGTTGTTGAATCCAGCAAGAAAAGGAAAAAAGATGGAAGCACTCCTCTCCCAATTCACCTTCCTCTCCGACCAAGCCCTCCAAGACAAGAACTTCGACCCTTCGACGATCGAAGATCTAATGAAGCTGTTCGAGATCGAGTCCTACAAGGCATGGGCTGCGGCTGAGCTTGAGCAGGAGAGAGAGGTGGAGGAAGCAGAGGCTGGCATGCAGGAAGCGGAGGAGTACCTTGACTCGGTCATGGAGAGTGCCATGGATGAGTTTAGACGCTTTGAGGAAGAGCTTGAGACCATGTCAAAAGCTGAAATGGCAAGCTTGGTTCAAACTGCTGAGAGAGCTAGAAAGATGGGAAACTTGATGGAAAAGGGTGCTACAATTGCTTCCAAGAAGTATATTGAGGCTGCACTCAATTCAGCTACTGCTTCCATGAAGTCAGCATGGAAAGGACTCTCCTCTTCCAAGGTTCATCCTTCTTGATATGTATAATAATATCAGGACAAAACTTATATACTATACTGGCTATTGCATGTTGTTGTATTCTTATTAGAATTAGAATTTTACATCCATTCATATTTAATGAAATTCTAATTCTGATTTGATAACTGTCATGAATATTCAAATCGGGTTAAACCTGCTTAATAAGATACCTTCCCTTTACTCTTTATTGTTATTTTCACTTCTTGGTTACATTGCTGCTTTGGCAAGTAGGAAGTTAATTAGATCAGAATTGTACCGAAATTGAGATGCTGGAGAACATTCAGCCAAAAGTGAAAAGGAAAAACAGATTCACTGTTGCTGAGACATGGAAATCTGTTAGTTACATTTACAATACAAGGTTTATGATTCAAACAGCTTAATTAATGTTGAACATTCGGAATGTAATTATCGATTTACATGTTTCTTGAGAGTACGTACTGCTATTTTTATCCTGATTCTTGGACTCATTGAGAGTAGAATAATTGTTTTTTTTTCTCCCCTGAATCTTTGATATTTCAAGTGTGTTGTAAAGCATGAAGATGAATCAGATTTTGTTTTTAGATTTTACAACTGGGTGTATGGGATGATGCATTGCATGTACTTTCTGAATCTAGTTCTTATTTGCACCGCAATTAGTCAACATTTTTTTCCACCGGTCAACGAACCTATATCCCCCAAAGATGCAGAATTGTTAATTTGTTATCGGCATCATTGATTAATATTTTATACATATGTTTCTGAGTTCTGACATTAATAAGGTTCAAGTTCTTCTGCACTCAGTCATTCACCTGGCCCTGATTAGCACACTTTACAACAACATTCACCTTCATTCTTATATCACTAATCTAATAAATAAAACTATCCTATCCTGAATTTTAATATTACTTCCTCCAAAATAAACAAAAAATTACATAACGATTGCTGTAACACTGATATTCTATTTCTAAATTGGTTTAAATATGTTTTATTTTCTTATATTACACTTTTATTTTTATTTCCATCATTGTAAAATTATAATTATTTTAAATATTTTTTATTTTTTATTTTAGTCTTTATAATATATTTGTTTTTTTATAGCCTTAAAAGTAAGACATATTAATCCCTCGTTACCACTACTAATTCATTTTTCATTAAATTAAATTAATATGTAAAAAAATTAATCTCCACTAATTTAGAGAAAGATGTGCAATTTTTTAAATGAAAGAGAAGGACAATAATTTATACATTTTTCAAAGAAAAAGAATAGTTGATTCAGTCATATTAGTTATAATTTTAGCTTGTAAAATCTACAAACATATTTATTATATATAATTTGATTAAAATTTATAATAAATTATATATAAAAAATTAAATACTATATTTGAATATATAAATTATGTTTAAATTAAGTATACATAAATATTTATAAACATATAGATTATATTTTAGGTTTATGATACACAATTTGTGTTGTAAATTTTTTTTGTTTATTGATAATTTATTTTAAAATATCAATATTTAATTAATAAATAATTTTAATAAATAAAAATTAAATTAGATTAAAAAATTAATTTTTTAATAAATTTTCTTGTTGAAGAAAAATTCTTAAAATCAATTTTGTGCAAAATAAAAAAGTCAGGGACCACTTGTTTCTATTTCTTAGTTAAGGAAATAATTTTTACATAAAAGGAATTGAAAACAGGCAAAAAAAAAATTCACCTACATGATTTTTTTATAGTTGATTACTTTCTTTCAATATCTGTGTTTTCATTTATGTTTTTTTCACAATTGTTTTTTGTTTAAAACTCCAATTTCTTGAATCCCTAAATTCCCTTATAAATGCAACACACAATAAACTCGGAAGACAGCAAAAAAGCAAAAACACTGTAGGACTATTCTCTTGTTGCAGTTGAAGTTGGAATGAACTTTCATCATAAAATTGGGTGTTCAAGAAACAAATTGGATTAAGGGACACTTACATGGTACAACTGTATTTCTTGCATGGCCTCCTTTTCAGTGCAACAACCAAACATTCCATGTGCCTTTGTACAAGTATTGATTTCATTTATGATGTCGCCACTAATATCAGTTACAGGAAGCATTTTTTTTTTCTTTTCTTTTTCAGAACGCCAAAGAAGTCTTCTTTTATTATGTAAAAGATAAGGAATTTTATTCCGAGCTTGTATTGGAAAACTGGGGTTTAAAAACCAAATCAGAAAATGGAAAATTGTTTTGACGTGATGAAAGTAAGAAAATAACAGATTGTTAACATTAAAGATGATCAAAGGATGGTCAAGATATGGAGAAGATTAATTACATGAAGAGTTAGATTGTTTTAACATTAATCATGTAATTTTGTTTAGTGTCTTGGTTATATATTAAGCGTGCTTAAAACCCCTTTTTAGGTTAATTGGTTGTGTGAGGGCTTGAAATAACAAAAATTGTTTTCATATGATGAAAGCAAAAGAGAGGTTGTTAGGATTGAAGATAATCAAAGGATGATCAGGTATGATGAAGAGTTAGATATTATTTTAACATTGATCATACAAATTTTCTTTTAGTGTCTTGCGTTATTAAAAGTTGGGTAATTTTTTTTTCTTTCTATTATCGTCGTAAAACAAACAAACAAACTAGTTATTAAAAAAAAAATAAGTTAAAGAATATCGTTATGTGTACGTTGTTTCATTACTCAATGACCAATCAAATACTAGAGTTGCTATTTACACCTCTCCTCCGATTTTAACGCTCACATTTTCCCCTATTTACCTCTCTAAGTGCAATTTTTTTTCCTCTCCAGAGTCATCTCGAGTCATTTTGTTCTTTCATTCTTTTTTCTTGTCTCTCATGCTACGGAAAACCAATTTTTTAATATTTGTATACATTAAAAAATAAACTTTCATGAATCATGCTGAGTCACAATTTTTTCAAAAATATATTATGAAAATTAAAGAGATAGAGACACGAAGTCTCTCTAATATTTATACATATATAAAATTATTATAGGATATAAGAATTATTTTTTTAAAATTTAAAAGGTATAGTCCTGTACAGGTAGGGCCATTCGCCATACCCTTCGACACATATAGCCGAATTGACTACGCTCAGGTCGTCTTCTCGAAAGCGTATCGGTCACCTACATCAAGATCGGCCTAGTTGGAGGCCGAAAAGGATCGTGTCGGATTGGCAAAACTCACCGTACCGGGTGGCCGATACCTGATCGACATCCCCGATGGTCGAAAGGCCTTGAGTAAAGTAATTCATAGAACCAATAATCATCCCTAAGCAGTGATTAAGGGTTAATCATGTGAATAAGCCAATTAAAGACGTATTACCTAATTAGGTAACTATAGTACAAAGCCCATGGAGGGTAAGACCTATTAATGTCACTATAAATAGTTCACATCTCGAGATAATGTCATTGTTCATTAATTACTATCGATATTCGTGTTTGTTATGACTTGAGCGTCGGAATTCCTTTTGCAGGTACCCTCTCCATTACCAGAATATTTGCTTGGAACTCTCGTTCGGCCTTCAGAGTACGAGAAAATTACTAGTATGCCCTTCAGATAGGTAAAGTCCATTAAAAAGTGGAGACCAAAAGTGCTTATATACCTCCACTATTTCTTTTATTTCTCTTTATAATATGTATAGATTTAGTTTTTGTAAATAAACAAAAAAAGACTAAAATGGACGGGATGAACTATTGAGAGGCTCATGATATATACACCTCCTTTTTTTTTTATAAGTACATCTCCTTTTTAAAAAAAATTATAAAATATTATAATTTTTTTAAAAATTTAATTTTACACTTTCAACTTTCAATTTGCTATTTTCTTCTTCTTATTCACACACTTTTTTTTTTTTCTCTTTCAATTTTCACATGTTACCAAAATAGGTGAGGTGAAGGAAAAATAAGGGGATGCATGTCAAAATTGAAAAAAGGGGGAAAGATGTGTGAAAAAAATATTAAGTTAAATGTTATGGATGTAAAATTAAAAAATTTAAAACAAAAAATTAAAAATATTTTAAAATTTTAATTATTTTTTTTAAAAAGAGGTCTACTTGTAGAAAAAAGGAGGTGTATATATCATGATCCCTATTAAGAATCCAATAGGACCCAAAGGCTCTACAGTACAGCGACCCGTTCAGGTCTTTTTAACAAAAAAAAAAAAAAAAAAGACTTTGGGTTTTAGTGGAATAACGCATTCGAAGTTGGGAAAAAAAGAAAAAAAATATAAAATATATTTTGGTCCTCCTTCCTTCTTCTATCGTCTTTGCCTTCCTTCATCGTGTTAGGGTTTGCAGAGTTTCAATTTACTCTCACCAGCATATCGCGGTTCCTTCGTATTTATGTTTTAATAACTCGCGAAATCCCACTCTATAGCACGATATCTCGTTCCTTCAATACTTATTTTGAAGATTCCCCTGATTTTTTCTGGTGAAACCTTGTTCTTAGTTTTTTTTTTTTTTTTTTTAAATTTTAAATTCATGCAGCTTTAAGGATTCAATTGGCATAACGATTGATCCATGGAACGATGTTCCCTTTATCACTTTGATTTTCATGCATTTCAAATTTCATCGCCCAAATTATGTTTGATACGTTTTGGTGTTGGTGATCGTGTAATAACTTCATAACCAGTTTGATGCACTTTTAAGCAATTCTTATCATAAATGATCGATTTATATTGATATGTAGTTATGTACTTTTCAGGGACACAATTTTTTGCTCCTTCCTTTATTTTCGAATAGTTTCCTCAGTGAAAAGCAAAGAAAATATCTGAAGCTTATTGGAATCAGGAGTTTGGAGATGCCTCGAGATTTGTCGCGATCGCGATCGCCACCCTATAGGCGAAGGCATTCACCATCTCCTGTGGGACACAGGTATAGCAGGAGGAGCAGAAGAGACAGAAGCAGATCTCCTTATTCATCCTACTCTTACAGCAGGTGACCCCGTTTGTATGTTCATTTTTGTTTATGATATATTCTGTATTGAGTTAGTAGGATGAATTGGGGATTCATGTTTTACTGATTATTTGCTATGTAACTTAAACCTTTTATTTGTCTATATTTAGTTGCTGTGTTCTTTTCTATTATAATGTAAACTGCACGTTGTATGTTAGATTTACTTTCAGGTTTGGTGCTCTATGGACATACCAAGGACATTGTACAATTATAATCTACCATAGTTGGAAATTTGGATTAGAGTTGAGAATATGGCGAGGGTTGTGTTATTGATTTGGGGCTATGTGTATAAAAAATGTGTTCAGTGAACTTTTTTCCCTGTCCATTATATACTCAGATGTCAAAATTAAAAAAAAAAAATGTTCTTTTTTGCTCAAGTATTTGTTGAGAACTGACTATTTTTTTGTTTGAAGAAATGAACATGACACTTTCCAGGGTTACCGAGCTATATGGTATTTTAATGACCAAAACACATAGGTCGAAGTTGAACCCCATGGTTGATAATGCTGGTTATTGATGGATTGTTATTTAAATTCAACAACTACTTTGTATTTGCTTATCATCCATCTTTTTTTATACATGCTCAAGTGTTACCGAGCTATATGGTACTTTGTATTTTCTTTTATTCTTCTGTTTGGGTTCTATTCTTCTGTTGAGCTCCTTGAGCCACTCAATGAGATGCATACTGTTTTTGCTGGATGATTGATATTGCTAATATTCAAGTATTTGACGACCTTGTCATAAGTGTCCAGTGACGGCATTTGCGGACTTTGTGAGACTTTTTAAGTTTCTTTCTTTTGTGGGATTTCCTACTTATATGCGGAGGTGGAAACTCATCAAAATAACACGAATATAGAGCTTAATATAGAGAACAAGATAGGAAATATGCTATTTATAACAAAATTAAAAAAGATCAGTTTCCTCGCATAAAGTGGGAAATAAGGGATATGAACAGGTGGTGGGTGCTGATGGGGTGTTTTTTCATTGCTCGATTGTCACATTTGCTTCTTCATGTGGTAAAAGATGGAGCACACAATGGTTATTCTTAGCAATTTCTGAGGTAACTGTACATGTTTTTGTATTTAGTGTGCTAGACGGTGGGCAGCATTTATATTCTCTAAAGATAGCTCTCTAGTTGTTGAGGTTCATTGCTTACGATCACATGTCATCATACAGGCGTAAAAGTCGCTCTATTTCACCAAGAGGTCACAGAAGTCCTTCTACAACTCCAAGACGTCGTAGAAGCCGATCTCCGTCTGCTAAACGATACAGAAGACATAGAAGTAGGAGTTCTTCACGGTCTCCTACTCATAAATCTTCCAGTTCAAGTCTTGGGTCAGTAGAGCACAAAACTGCCACTGAAAAACTAAAGAAAGAAGAAGAAAAGAAAAGGTAGATTAAATGCTTATCATTTTTTTCTTTCTCTACCTTATCTTCACTATTCCTTGATTTATGCTTTAGGATGGAAATCATGGGTAGGTTCTTCTGGTTTATGATGAGAATTTCTGGCTTTTATGCTTAATGTATAATGTATTGCTAGAACTTTGAAACACTGATTCTATTGTGCATTTATCAGTAAGACACAGATTGCCTGGAAAGTTAGGCAAGGATGGTTGTGGTAAAATTTTGAATTTCTTTTTCCACTTTTTTAGAGAATAGTTGTCGTCTGAAATGTCCCATCTACCATATGTCTATTTCAATTAATGGCATACTCTAATTTCTGGTATTTTAGTAATGTTCTGGTATCTATGGGTTTATATTGTGCTTAATTTCATGTTGCATAGAACATGTTGGATATATTACAACTTACAAGGCAGTGCATTTGGGAAGACAAAATTATCCTTGGTTTTGCCGTTATATATTATCTATTATGTTTTGGCTAAGGCTATGATATTAGATTGAGTCTTGCCACTTGTTGCCCAAATAATGTTTCTCTTGTTTGTAAAAAAAAAAATAAACATAAAAGAATAGAACATTACATCTTTTACTGAAATTCTCAATCGTAATCACTGAGTTAGTTTCTTCATTCCTGTGAGATAGGAAAGGAGATTGAGCCATAGCTATATAGTTTAATTTATGCATTTCTTTCAGTGGGATAAGACTTTTGTTGTTATGCATTTCTTTCAACACTTATCAGTGTCAAATTATAAGAATCTATTTAAATAAACTTCTTTACAAGCACTGTAAGGAGAAAAAAAAAGGAAAGAAAATTAAAATAAGCTTCTCTATATGCTAAAACTAGTTTATATACGAGTTAAAAATAAGTTTTTGGAGAAACTAATATTAGGAGGCTTCTACGAATTAGCTTATATTTAGCATATGGAGAAGTTCATTCAAACAAACAATTATTTATTGTTTGTGAATGAAGAGAGTAGAGTTTGGTGGAACCCACACCAAAAGAATCTCCCCTCATGTGCCGAGATTTTGTGGGAGAAGGTAGAAAAAAAGAGATTGTGGGACCCATTGAAAAGTAAATGACATTTATCCTTTTTGTTTTGGATTATATAAATATGTTGTAGGGGTAAATGTCTTTATAACACAATCACTTTTCTTTCTCTACTACTTTCTTACTTCTCTTAATCCAAACAACTTGAAAATCTATTCATTTTCTTCTCATTCTCGCTTCTCTTCTACTTTTTTCTACTCCACTTCATTCTTCTAAAAATCTTTCATTGTCCAAACAAACCACAAGACATGGTACTTATTTTTCCATTAAAGTTTACATCATTGGTCCCATCTTCTGGCATGTTGCCACTTCTATGGTACTTATTGATTGGAGTCTTGAGGGTTAGAATATTTGCTCACATATTTATTGAGTTACAAAGTTAAATTATTTAATCTTATGAACCCTCCATTGTGTCTCTCTCTCTCTGCACTGTTGCATTATTTTAGTGTATGGATGCTCAAGTATTCATTATACGACTCTGTTTGGCTCACTTATGGTTCCATTGGATTTATTCTTAAGAACCACAAGTTAATGCTTTATGGGTTTTTTTTTTTCAACAAGCAAATATCACTTGTGAGGTAGGTATATAATAATATGAATAGTTGAGATCTTTTTTTTTGGGCACCATTAAATTTTTTAACATAAAAGATAAATAAAAAAACCACTTGAAGTGGTTATTGTCTATATAAACATATTAGCTGAACAACCATTTGACTAATTATTGTTTATTCTGGTAAATACTTTTATCAAGTTCTACTTTTTTGTTCCCGTTTGGTGGGATGTATCCTTGCGACGAAGTAGGTGGATACATGGTTATGAACTTAGGTTTTTTAGTACACCCGCTCATAAAAGATGGACCTTATCCTGGGACCCACCTTAAAGGGTCTACTCATCAGGTTTATGGACTAGATTTTCTTCAATTTTTGGTTAGGCTGATCCTTTGGATGCAAAGTTTAACCCTTGTTGCATTTCAGTTATAAAGTTGACATGGCATTCATTAGTATAAATCTCTGGCTCTGCAGAGTAAATATTATTTTCAATAGGACGAACATATGTTTTTTTTCATTGTTTTGATGCTTCTGGCACTTAACTAACAAAAGAACTTGACCTATCGTCAACAACTAACTAGTCAAAGATGTTTAGTGTAAAAATTCTAGTATTTCCATGACTAGTTTAAAACTGCAGCATGTTACTTGAATTTCTTCTTCACAGGCTTGTCTGAAGCAAGGTACTGCTATAATTGGACTTGTTATGTTTGATGATCAAATTGGCTGCCTCATTTATCTACTGTTCACCAGTTTTGAAACTCATTTGTTTGGATCAGGATTCAGTAGAGGTATGCCTTAAAAGCATAACCATTTATTAGTGCCATTGTCATCATGGAGGTTAGTTTGCCGTTGATTGTGGTTTTCTATTAAGAAGTTCAGGGGAAGGGTAAAAAGAAAAGGGGAGAATAAAAGGGGAGAAAAAAATGAAGCAGACATGTCTATTGTCCGGTTTATATGTTAGTTGCCTATAATGAAAATCATCGAGTCCCACTTATGTGGCATTTCCCTCCTGTTCCAAAGGACATTTTCCTGCTTAACATTTTGTATGCTTTCACAGGCGTCAACTAGAAGCAGAGTTGAAATTAATAGAAGAAGAGACTGCAAAGAGAGTTGAAGAAGCAATTCGTAAGAGAGTCGAAGAAAGCTTGAATTCTGAGGAGGTTCAGGTGGAGATTCAAAGGCGGTTGGATGAGGGACGGAAGAGACTTAATGCTGAAGTTGCAGCTCAACTTGAAAAAGAAAAAGAAGCTGCCCTTATTGAGGCTAAACAGAAAGAGGTACATGTTTCAAAATATTTTATCCTCCAATTCATTCTCCTCTGTTGTGTGACAAGCATATGAATAGCATGATGGGTTGCTTGTTAATTTGTCGTAAGTTCTCTACAGAACGAGACTTATTTTCAACCATGGTGTATTTCAATATCCAGTTTCTGGTTCTTTAGTGCACTTCTAGTATGCACGTATACTTGTTTCCATAGGACTAAACCTGAAACCATTGGGAAACCTTGATACTTACTAGATATCGTATGTTGATATGCCCCAATATGCAGGAGCAAGCCCGTAAAGAGAGAGAAGATCTTGAAAGGATGCTTGAGGAGAACCGGCGGAAGATTGAAGAAGCTCAGAGAAGAGAAGCTTTAGAGCAGCAAAGAAGGGAGGAGGAACGATATAAAGAGCTGGAAGAGATACAGAGACAGAAGGAAGAAGCCATGCGAAGGAAGAAACAGGAGGAGGAGCAAGAACGTTTAAACCAAATAAAGTTGTTGGGTAAAAACAAATCCCGACCTAAATTGTCATTTGCTCTTGGATCCAAATGACTGTGGAGCAACCCGTGTCTATTGATTTGTTCTAAAGTGTGTTTTGGGCCCAATTTCCTATTTCGTCTGTATCATGAGGAAATTTCACAGCCTAGTGTGACAGCGTTGCTATTGTTTCTAGTTTGTATTAGATTTCATTGTTTATCATAGTCTCTTTTTTAACGATAGTAATGACTCGTGAGATAGCGACATTGTTTGATGGGGAGGGGACCTGGGCCTAATACGAGAGAGTGAGAGACCATCTAAAGTTTTTTCATGCCTGAGCTAATTGGGCTTAATATCGGAAATTGCATCAAGTCATCGTTTGGAACCAGAACCATCAACAAATTTTTTTAAATGAAAATGAGCTTTTGAAGGGGATTCAGCAGAGTTTAGATCTCTCCATATATTGTCCATTTATTTTCCATTAGTATTAGGCGTAGGAAAATGAATATTTTTCGTGATGACTTAAAAACTATAGGAGTGTATTAAGAGGAAGAAATGAAAAAGATCCCTACTTTTAGAAATATCACCTACACTTCTCATCATGCCAATCATGTCGTGTCATGCCAAGTTTACTGAAAAGACTGATAGTAGGCATACAATGAATTCCTACACTTCATCCATCTTGACCAAATTAGTAGGCATGCAATGAATTCCTACACTGCACCCAACCCAAATGTTACGTATATTAGGGTCAATCATCTTCACCTAGAAATATGAAACTCTATTTTGTGAGAAGATATGATCTAATGACACATTTAGTTTGATGGATTGTGACAAACAAAAATAGTTGAAATTTTATAATCCATCCATTCATATGATTTGGTTTAAAAAGAAAGAATGGTCAGGATCCTCAAAAAGAGACTAATAATTATTTTTCATAATAAATATTTTATATTAATATTATAATTAAAAAAATGAAAGCATTCATATGAGGCCCACATAAGAAAAAGAAGAAGCAGTTCGTCCAAATTTAAATGGGTAAAAAGCAGCAGATGGTTTTACGTGCAACGAAGTTACTATTAACCTTTTGTTAGGGTGATCTACCCTTGAAGCTAGTTTAAAAGGGCATGTGAAAGTTGGGTAACAAAGAGCAGTCAGAAGAGAAAAGGTTATGTGTCCCACAGGTATGATGATTAACATATAATTGGCGTGAGTTTGTGATATAGTGCCACGTGTAGAGACAAGGTACGTGGATTATGTATTGGTCCCCGGCCCCCCAACGCGGTGCGGGAAGTCCAAGGAAGCGAACATTGACAGTGTCTGCATTGCATTCAATTCAACCTCGTGCTGCCCAATGCTGTCGCCTCACGTTCACTCTTGTCCCTTCTCTTCAATGTCGTTGACTCCTTCTCTCTCCCTCATCTCTCTCCAGTGGAGGCTGTCATCTATTTATTGCCCCCGCTCATGCATACCAATTAATCTATAGTTTTATAATCTATAGTTTTAAAATTTAGAACCTAATAAATTAAAAATTAAATTATTTGATTATTAATTAAATTGTATAACTTGATTTTTATTTATTTTTATTAAAAAATATTCATATTAAATATATTTTATATTTATAAATTTTAATAAATTTATATTTTATTTTAAATTTCAATTTTTCTATCTTATTTAAAATT